CACGATTGGTCAACCAGTAAACTGGCTGATGACAATTGGTCAACCAGTTAACTGAACGCTGACAAAAACTGAAAATGAAAACGGCTGGGAGCAAATTCCATGGATTTCCCAGGAGCCTCTACAGCTTTTAGGAGTGACCCGGACAACGTTGCCAGACCCAAGGTCGGACCGCTTGGCTGACGCCACTTAGCAGTCTGGCTGGAGAGCTCTACGGATGGCTGACACACCGGCCCAACACTCATCTACTGTAATCCCCATGGGCCAAAAGCTGTCATTACCACGCGACAGGCATGGCACAAGCTGCCTCCATGATTCCACAATAACCGCTCTCAGTGATACGAGGCATGTGGGACTTTTCCGATCTCGCGTGTTGTGTCTTGGTTGGATTCGGGTGAGGCTAGGGCTTGAGGGTGTATAACTGGGCCAACCTGAATACGGGCCAGTAAGCCGAGACAGGTGATTGACCTAGGTGTAATGAAAAGAAAAGTACGCGACTCTGCTCATACGAGTGTTTCCGTCCATCTTATCTAAATCTCGTAACTATACCGCGGGTAGACCACTTAAGGCCACAAACGGTTGTGCCAGACCTCAAGATTATCTTTCATATATAATACACGGTTGCTCTGGCAGCCAAGCAGTGTTTTATAACTCAGCTCACGATGCAATAAATGGTTTAACGGGCAGCAGACCATCTTTTCTTTAAATCTCTGAACTTGAATGAGTGTCTGCTAAAATCGAAATCTTACAATCGCACTTTAAATTAGGACAACTCAAACTGTTGCGGACAAAATTTGCCGAAAAAACACATTATGATAGATTGACGCCCTAGGCAAAATCAGAATGTCCATATGATACGTATATTCACAGCGTATGCAACATTTACTTGAGATGTTCAAGACAAAACTGTATCCAGGTTAGTTTTCTTTTCCATGATTCAGCGACAGGGCCATCGATTATTTCAAAGCGAATATGATACAAGTTCACAAAGTGCTTTTGGTTAGCCTGTCATCGGTAATTTACCTTCAATTCACAACACCACTTGGCCTAAGTACACCACATTGCCAGAAACGCGTCGACAAATATTCCACCCAACTGAGAGCCAAAAAGAAAAAGGATCCTCAACAAAAAAAGAGTTGTTGGCTTAAAAATGAAAGGAAAGAAATATCTCGGGCCTATCGCCATGATTGAGTTAGTGTGGAATTTTGCCGCCAGACTTTAAGACCACATGGAATTACTTGCATCAACTTACGGGCGATTCGTCTGTCGGGAAACCAAGGTAGGGATGTAATATCTTCATTACTCTAACAACGGGTGGGAATTCGATCCCTACGCACGAATGACGGTCATTGTTGAAGTGGTATTTGCTTCAACGATCGCAGCCATATTAAAGCATATTTTCCCCCCATTACTGGTGGTAAAACGTTTATCGCATGCTTGCTTTTTTTTCTGAAACGTGACACTCAACTTAATATCGCGTCATAAAACGGTATCTTCCACGTCCCTTGTAGAATTTACTTTAAACAATCGTAAACTATCATCCAGATATCCTTATTCGCAAAAAAAGGTATAATAGATCCTCACTGTGTAAAAAAAGATATCCAAATGATATCGAGCTCCGATAAACTGAACATTGGTGTCTCAATTTCACAATCAAAATCAGAGTCTGAGAGACTGAACACATCAATCTGCTTCAGTTCTAGTCTTGTAGCGATTTCTGTTCAGGCTTCAGAGCTCATATCACTTCTTCCCACGTGACATGGTTATAATGACACATCTGCAGGAAGGCAATCATATGCTTTTTGTCTGTCCCCGATCAATGAGATTGTCTGGCTCTCGTCTGTTGAGTAATTAGTGGGTGTATGTCACTCTGCTAACCATCAGAGAGGACATTGTTCTCGTGTTGACTGTGGTGCTGACTATGATTACCATGACGTCATTCTCTGAGTTCGCCTAGGAAGAGGTGAAGCTCTGTAAGTCAAATTGTAATACATGTACATATTAAGACTGAAACTGGACGACCAAAACTTCGTTTAAAGAGCATTCAAGGGGATCTCGTGAGAGAAAAACGATGAATGATTATGAACGACAAACATTTCTGAAGGACGATCTAGCATTGATATTTCTTTGTGAAGGAAGATGAAGCATTAAAATATTTGTCCACTTACACATAGCCGTCAAATTCAGCAGATTTCTTGTAGAGAATTCGGATGTCCTTCTGTTGAAGAAAATGAAACCAGTGTTAATATTACAGTCGAACGTCGTTAAAAAGAGGTCCTTCAGACTTCGCAAATTACCTTGTTGGTACAGGAACCTTGTATTAGGTCTATTAAGAATGAAAACAATGAAAAACAAACCTAGGGACCTACAATTTCCTTGTTGTAAGCAGAAATCTTGCTTTAACAGTGCTCTCGATCTCATTTACAGGGTTCGGCGACTGTAGTAATTACAGTAACGTGTTTATTTTAAAGATGGGTAACAACATAGTACATATTCATATTTGTTATCTGGGTTGACACCGGGAACAGAATAAGGGTAACCATTTGGTTATGTCAAACCTACAGAGTTTCACATGACATGTTCCCTGAATAAAATTGAACTAGGCAAATACATAAAAAACCTATTGCTTCAATTAATATCTCTAAATATAATTTTCTAATCAAACATCTTGTATACATTAGTCAAAGGGTTTAATATAAAATGCATGCAGGCGTAAATTGCTTGCACAGCTCAATATGGAAGGGTCTGAACGAATCCACATTTTGGTAATTAGCGTCCACTCCATGATAGTAATGTCAGTGTCAAAAGCCCAATTCTCTATAAAAATATTGTCGTTTTTATTTAGCACACAGACACATGCATCAATTTACTGTCACAGACAAGCACTACAAAGTGCACTAGAGAAAGACCGTCACACCAGAATGAACGGTAAACCACGCTCAAGCTAGCTACAGTCGATGCCTCCCCCCCAGAGGTAAAATCAGGAATATGGCGACATTGAAATGTGAACACGCAGACAGTGAAAAATACGGCGCCAGTGGACTTGAGATATGTTATCAGAGGAAAGGAGGGTTGATTCAGTTGATGATCGTCACACTTGATGCTAGGAGTGGTCATTCAGATAAAAAAAAATGACAAGGGCCAACACAAAATGAAAGATGAAGAGGTACCTAGACGTGGTCGATAACAAGTCGTCATTTCATGAGAAGCAAAAAGAACTATAAAAAGAGCGCACCACTCACAAACAACACTAACCCAAACCACCTGGGATGTGTGTAAAAATATATAAGAATGGAGGATTAAGGCTGTTTGGAGTTCCACACAATAGATCTGATGCAGGGCTGAGTTCCATGCACCTCGGAAAAAAAAACACCAAAAAAAAAAAAAAAACCCAAAAAAACTGGTGCATGGTTGGTTGGACCGCAGGTGGGAAACTGGGCGTAAGATGTGTGGTTGAGCTTACGTGGCAGTGGGCGGGAATGGGCAATGAAACATTATACATAAGCAATTATCTTAACGAAAAGGTAAGATGTAGAAGCGATCAATTCGCTTCAATCGCATGGATAAACTGAAACAGCTGGATAAACAAATTGTGCAAATGAAAGCCACAGCACATCGATGGCTACACCACCTCAAAAGCGAGGAAAAATGCAAAACGTTTAAAAACACTGTAACGTACAGTACGTTGATTGTCTTCTCGGTAATGCCAGTATATACTAACAATGTAGAATAGGAACATATAAAGCGGAAACGACGAAGCAAACCGATACACATGCGCATGCACCCACACAATGAGATACGCCTATACATCGTGCGTCGTTGTCTTGAAACAGACGGCTGGTAAAGCTTGACATTCCAATTACACTAACAGCTGAAACACACCTGTCCAAAGTTAAGCAATCAAGGGTCAGACTAAGGCAAACGTACAGGTGTAAGGCATTCAACCCAGGTCACTCACCTGTGTAGACTCTATGGGAATATCCTGCCAGTTTGGGTGAGAAATGTAAAGATTCCATACCAAAATATTAATAGTTTTTAAAGACTAGAGTTCCTTTGACTATTGCATAATCATGGTATGACTATGAGGTATTGCTCCATAATACATTTTTATATCTATGTATCCTACGAATACACTTCACACTCGGCATTTTTCAAATGCAAAAACTCACAGGAAGAGAAAAATGAAGTACATGTTATTCAATTAAAAAACATTTTTGCTCGTTAAAAGTTTGCACTTTGAAGTTGTACAAACAGACTGGTTGCTGAGGGATTCTCAACCATCAATCCTAGCTCTTTGCATCAATCAAGCACCACCAGTAGGTATAAAATTACTGTCATGTTTTGATCCTACACTTGGGACAACCCCAAATGCCCACTACACAGAAGTGAAACTGTATCCCCCGCGGGTGCGATCGCGGTCGGCTCATAGGTTGAAAAGAACCAATTTGCGGTGCCCCAAATTCTGGACGGCCAAGAGGCCATTTCGGCAAACATTTCACAGGGGAGCATCAATACCCCCTAGCTACTTAACAGGGGTGCAGTATAGTTCATCCAACCTTTGCCCTCTCTCCATGTTCTGTAGGTAATCTCTAAATAAAGTGAACAACCACAGAGGATGTAATAACAGTGTGGAGCTTGTAGCTATTGTGTGCTTGTCAAATCTGAACTGAAGTTAGTCAAGCGTAACGATTGTTTGGTCCAGCACTGCCGCACTGAAAGTGCAAACGCCCCGTGCCACCTGTATGCAATGGGGCAACGCAGTTACGTATCAATGTTTCTTTTAAAACTTTATTCATTTATGATTTGTAGAACTTTATGCAAATAATCTGTTAACACAAACAACAGAACCAGCGAACAAATGAGCCAATAAATGCGTAACTGTTCAAAGGAAAGTGTAAAGATTGATGACGTCAACAAAGGAGACGCAGTTGAATTCAGTATTCAAACACAATTCAAGAAGGAATTCTCATGATGTTCATAACGCCGTTTGTTACAACCAACTTTGGGGGGTTCATCGAACGGGCACAGTTTCTCTTCGGTCGCTGTTGTTTGTCAACACAAACCGGAATTTCGACCGTGCAGTATGCGCATCCTGTATGTATGACTCTCATTTAGGAAACTATGGTTACCGATATTTGTGTAAGTCGGAGGATGTGGATCTAGATAATGGTGTGAAGACAGACAGCACAATGTGAGAAAACAGGAAACGATGAGTCAAACGGATAGCAGACGCCATCAGCGAATTACTTCTTTTCTAAATGTCAGAAGTACCATCAAATCTTCTTTTATTGACTTGTTTTTGTGGGAAGTTGGGATTATTTTGCTGATTTGTAGTGCTCTATCCAGTGAGGGGCAACACATGTTGCCCATTTTTATCCCTTTTTGGAAATGAAAGCGCCAAGACTTTCAAATGATACTGTACCTCTCTGGGGGACAGTGGGAATTTTTCTGTGGATAAAGAATTCGAACCGTTGTCTTTAGATAAAAGTCCCATTTTCCTGTGGATCCACAACCTGGATACCGCACTGAGTCACTTGCTTGAATAAAGCTAATGCCACCAGCTTGGTAGGTGATATTCAATTTCACAATACATACATACGTTGTAGTATTTACAATATAATCTCTAGCAGACTAAGATATATGTATCCGTTGGTGTAGTGACATTGTGGCATAGCATATTCATGTATGATTATATTCATACATCATTTGTTAGAGAAAAACCACGCCAACGAATGAATCATCATGCCTCATACTCTGGTGTCCCGAACAACCACTCTGCTTCAGTGAGCCGCCTTTGCAGTTAAACCCTGTTTAGAAATGTAGTTATTTTGCACGCATAGTATTAGTTGTTTGTGATATCAGTACTTTACAGATCGAATAAACATAGCTGAATAAGCCATATACGATATGCAACACTTCTCTGAGTCCAAGCTGCTGCACTTCTGAACATCCAAACTCATTTTGATGGATCATCGAGCTAGAGAGAATCGTGACAATGGAGACCTACTTGTTCTAAAACCATTGAGCACTAAACTAGATTAATAGATGACACTATACGCCAAAAAACAGATTCATTCCAGCTCTAGAAAACACTAACAATGGGTGGGAGTTCTTCCTTCATGGAAGTACCAAACACTTGACACCATAACAGAAGTGACCTTGGTGTCACTGAATGGTGGACTGCCAGTGATTAGCGTCTTCAGTCTCGCATGTCCCTGAGGTTTACGTGCCCTCACGCAAGACGAGGTGAACTCTGTGTGCTGTATTGAAACCCACACTGTAGTCTGTACATGTACAAGCGTAGCTCTCTACTCTGTTGCGGACTCGAAAAACTTTGACCATAACGACCCACACTCCGCACCGTAAAACAACAGCTAAGCAAAATATCAATGTAATTAAAAACCCTCCATGTATAACGAGTAACATGATAAGGTAATACTTACCGAAGTTTTGGCAACCTTCCAATCACTGTCACTGTACAATTCATACACCCGCTGGGCCATACGTTCGGCCTCGTCCGTATAATCCATGGTTTCAGCAAGTCCTGTACCACCACTGTGGCAACGCGCTGCGACCAACAGCCTCGCGACAGCAGACGACACACAATTACTGCTCTTACTCGGCGCTGGTTTCGCACTAAAAATACCCGCACTGACAGCGCAGACACCTAATGTTACCGGCGCCAGATATCTGAGCATAATTTATGCAAACAATGCACCAATAAGCGCGATTTACGGACGAAGATCGATAGAATGATTGGTCGAGACAGCGCGAGCGAACTTCACGGCGCGAGTGACTGCAGACACACAGCGGATTAATACGATACGACAATAATGTGTCTGGAGCTGAGTTCAGCGAGTACGGAGCTTGGAAGGGTTCCGGAAATGTCTGATGTGTTGGTAAGTGCGTGAGATCAGGTAACACAAACGTCTCGCCACCTGCAGACATCTTACAAACTGGCGACGTCAACACAGTGCTCACCAGCCGGTGGCGAAGTGTACTCCATCATTGCCGAATGTTCCCTATAGCCCTTTTGCACCGACTGCAAAGCCAAGCAGAGTCATGTTGTAACCATGGAGGAATAATGACTAGCAATTAAATTGGTAGTTTCATTAAGTAGGGTTGCCATGGTCCTTTTCAGGTGTCCAGTGACCGCAACATTCCAATCATACCACTTGGGAACGCGACCGCGAATTAAAAGCGCCTTTGGCCGAAAGGACCTCTGACTTAAATTATTTAAGACTTTGGCTGGATGACGTCAGTTGTGGCCAACGTCAAGATGGAACAGATATGCCTTTGAACCAGTATCAAAAAGTTAGAGTGAAAAAGACGTCTGCTTCATGTTCACAATCTGTGTGCCTGTATAACTATATAGGTGCAGTCCAATCATTCAAGTGAGAATTTCTGGCCAGTTCATTAGTATTAAAAGTGCCCCTGCAGTTTTTTTGTGGAAAAGGAGATTTTTTGCCCCCCCCATGGTGAGACTGTGTAAATTCTTGGAAGGGCCAAGTTCATGGGTCTTTGGCCTTCCATCTGAGAGCAGAATGGCTGAAAAACACTGTTAAAAATGGTCCTAAGTGCCCGATAAAGTTGAAGGTTGCCACAATAGCTAAACGCAGACTTCGGAACTTTCCCCCTTGGGGTTGTTTTTGTGTGTGTATGAATAATTAAAATTTTGATCAGTTAACCTCCCAAAATTAAAAAGAAGTTGAAAGATTAAGGACCAAACAGTTGTAATTCAATTTTTGTTTGAGAAACCTCAGGGATGTTGGCTTGCATGGTATTAATCCCTGAAAAATGTTGATTTTTACAATGGGGCTTGGATAAGTGGATTACACCGTATATGATTTTGTCAAGATTGTTGCGATTTCAGTGGCTCACTCAGTGTTCTGTGTATGTAGTTGTTAATGTTATAGCTGCTTAAGCGACAATATTTGCCAGAAGTTTGGACAAGTTGCACTGTACTTTGATGATGCTTGATAGTGGACTACATGCATTGAAAACAAGGTGTTTTCATAGATATAATCATTTCTCCAGTGAGCAGATTTCGTGTTCAAATTTGAACAGAACCCAACCGCACATTTCAGGTGTCTCCCTGAGTGACTTCAAATTAAAAGTGCCTTCGTCAACGGCGTATCCAGCCTTTGTGTTGGGGGGGATTCAAAAGCGAAAGCGTCTACGTGCTCATTCAACATATATTGGGGAAGAAAATGTCAAGTCTTACGGTCCCAACATCCTTTCTTTTATTTGTCGTTGTTGTTTTGTTAGGGTGTTGGTGCTAACATTTGATAAATTACATGTGCTCTTTCCTACTCATCTATAATTAAGTATTCTGTGTAAAAAAAAATCCGCCAGGGTGGTAAGTTTCCCCCTGCCCCCCCCCCCGGATGTGCCACTGGCCTTCATGTCATGGCGAATTTTAACTATTTAAAAGTGAACTCTGTAATAGATTTATCATAAGGGGATGTCGATGAGCTATCGTACATTTAGGAGTAAAGAAGTGCACTAAAAAGGTTCCTAATCATAATAAATGTCATTGACCTTTGAAGAAAAAGTCCTTTCAACAGTTGAAAGCTTGATTAGTGTTCTCAGAATTTATCTTGTTCTATATAATCTGCTAACTTGGGTGGTGCCAGACGTTATTGGGTTATAAGCCTCGCTTTCTTTTTAATGTGGCTTAAACCATGGTAATCACACATGTTGAAATATTCATCAGCCTAAATTGGCATTAATGAATGAACTTTCCTGTGATCTTTTATTTTATACTTGAAGGTTCCCAGATGAAAAGTAAACCTGGCGATCAATCCAGTTTGGCCATCCCGTGAATAGGTCCGGTTCTTGCTCCCGTTTCAGGGATTATTTTTTTAATTAAGTAACAGTACTTTTTAATGCCCTCCGTTTGAAAATGGCTCAAATACTGAGGGGGTGTCCTTCCGGGGATTTTTCTTATGACATCTGGTTACTGCCCCTGTAGCCAAGGGCGTGCTATGTAGGGGGCCTAAAGGGAGGATTGTTGTAAAAAAAACTACTCCTATAGTGTCTTCCAGAAAGTTTGGTGGAATCCAATCAGCCAACGATTCAGGTATTTCCAAACAAAATTTCACTGAAAATAACATTGCAGAACAGTTTCAATCAGGTCACTGTCTCCTCCCATTCCTAAAGCAATGTGCTGACCTCAGCCTGGGAGAGTGGATGATGTCTTCTTCTGAAGAACAGTATCACCACGGTGATACGATAAAGCAACGACAGGGCGACATGTCTCATAATTTTCAGGCCTCCTTTGCACCAAGTTCTTCATCTCCTTCACCCTCCTTCACCCTCTCAATCAACCTCATCAAGCCGATCCACAGAGAATACTCCACCGGATGCCGCTCTACCACAAAGACCACAGAGAGTGCGCAGACTTCCAGACTGATTGTCCTATGATTTCCGGGACAAACCAAACAACACAGAGTCTCCCAAGGAAAATCCCCAGAAGACCTCTATCACTCCAGGTTAAAGTCTGCCAAGAGATTCTTGAAGAGATGGAAGAGCCCCAGAATGGCTGAAGCCAGGAAACAAGCGGGCATAACATTTCTGTTGAATCAAAGTAATTAATTAATGCCCCCCGTTCAAATGTTGACATTAATATGTTCACCGTCTCTTTTGATGTTTTATGCCATGCTCCAATCGTAATTATAACATTCGTTCATTTACTAGGATAATAGTGTGCATGTCACTTATATGCAATGTATTTATATTTCATGTGCAAGTAAAATGGAATTTGAAACTTGTTTATGTTTTTTATGACATCCAGAAATGAAAATTCTTGGATGACTTGAATTTATTTGTGGAACTTGTTCATTTACTTATTGTCTATCAAAACAGAAGACAGTTAATGAGCCTACGGGTAATCGATTTCATGTACTTGTTATATTCTTTGATCGGAATATTTCTCTCTCTAATTATGCATTTTCAAACCAGGCGCCGGAGTGATATGCATTTAGTTTGAAGGGATAATGTATATTTGATACTTGATTGCATTTTCTCTGTTTCGATTACCCTTGTATAAATTGAGCCTACATGTATCTTTTGTTTTTTGTTTTTTGGAAGAATCATCAATATTCATTATGTTTATCCTTTTGTTTATCCCTCATAAATATTCATTTTCCCAGTCAATCGCACACAATTGATACTTCGAATACGGGCCGTGTCAGCGTCACTCGGACGCTAACCAGATTGGAGATGACATCTTTTTAAAACCTCCCCTTTTCATGGCGTTTATTCTCCAGGTAAATCACTCTATTTATTCTTTTTTATCAACATAAGTCAGTAGTTATTAATATCATGATGTAGTGTTTCATCTGTAAGACTCACATGCCTTAATATTGTCAATTCTTCTATTTTCCTTAATCTATCTTCGTTTGCTGTTCTAATCATTTGTATTTTCAACATGGCGCCTGTCAAATGGAATAATGGCGGGAAACTGATTCAGACATATTTTATAAATAATTCTAGTTTATTTAAACTTCTTTTGAGTTTAGCTTAATCGGCATTTCATTGAACCATTCGGTTCATTTGATAATGGCATTTATTGTTCACTCGGACGCTGACCGGATTGGAGATGACATCTTTTTAAAAGTCTCCTTTCCTCGCATTGATTCTCCAGAATAAATCAACAAAACCAGAGATGTCGAGTCATCTGCTCCTTAAACGGCTCTACATAATACCAAGGGTCACATCTACATGTATACTTAGTCTGGGTATCCTGATCATTGCTTCAAATAAAATGTCAATCACAACCACTGATGTGGGGGGGGAACCCCCCTTACAACTGGGGGTAGTCCTTTGATTGCCGACGCCTGCATGGTCTCACAAACGCCACCCCCGACGATCGTGCCGCTGCTGTTAATCATGTCCCAGCTTTAGTTAGAGAATTCACGAAGAATGAGGATTCATTTCGAGATTTTGGGGGAAGATCCGTTTAATTTTTACCCGGAACAACAGTGGCCTCAACTCATTCGGTCGGGAAGAAAATTTCAGCCTGCACGGTTGTTTTACGGATTCTGCATTTTGGTATGACGGTTTTTATTCTGTCTAAAACACCGTTAATGTTGCACCCACATACGTGTATTAACATAAATATCAATAAACTACAAGGAAAAATAGAATATTTCAGATTGCCTTTCAGGAGTAATAACAGAAACTCGAAGGAAATGAATGTTCTATTTACAACATGCTTTTTGGCGCCGCATAATTTGAATGGTGGAAAAGCAAAAGAACTAGGCCTAGAATCAACAAGACTTCGTGTTCAAGCAAATGGGGAAGTTGGACGGGGTCTTTGGCATGGCATCCGTAGAAATGGGGGCACGTAAACTATTTTCCCTCTCGATTAGGTCACGGTTCCGGTACTGCAATCAAGCATATGACTACGCTAATGCCGGTCCTTTGTCAATATATCACGTTTTGAAGGCAGTTTTTCTTATTTTTCGCCTGAATTCTTGCCGCCAATATTCAATTCCCACTGATTTTACACTCCCTTGGTTTGTGCACCGTACCATAATTTCACCTTTTCACCTCAAATTAACTCCGTTATTGCACCAACGGGCCTGATATTAATTTCTCATGCCATCTTTTTCAATTAAACCTACCTTGGATTTCTTGCACTTTTCCGTGCGGACATTGCATCGCTTCATGTGACGACATAAAGCCATGTCCGTAACAGGCTTCCAAGGCTAAGGCTAGTTGTAGTCTGCTGTCCATGTGTATTTCCAGTAGGAGAAGACCTAGACCTAGGCCTATAGATAACATATTTGGATTCAGCCTAAGAAAATAGTAGCATATAATTATTGTGAAGTACAGAAGAGTTGCGGTGTAAGTGTTCCCGTTATTGGAAAGTATGCACATCCCGCTCTACTGTGCACAATAATGGACAGCCAATTCGGTTTCCAACATCTGAAGCTGGCGCTTCTCTCTCTCTATACAGCTCTGGTGAATTGGTATGGTGTGCTCCACCATAGTCTATCAGTTAAGCTGAGTGCTTTTTTTTAATGCAGCGACCGTACGAATATTTGGAATATTTGGGAAATTCAGAAAACAACGCGTGGTATGTAATTTACATAGACTTCGAAGTTCTGAGTTCGGCCTTTTGTGATTTCACATATTACGTTACTTAATGTCGCTTGCTACACAGAGTCGGCATTAAAACAAAAGCGAGCTAACCATAAAAAAGACTCGTCTGCAGATATCCATGTAAAAGTCTGGAAATGCCATAAATATGGAGAGCAACGCCAACTTCAGACTTTGAAACCAAAATGGCTGTTCATTATGTCTGCAGTGCAGTATACAGCCGGCTATTATGTGCCAGTTGCCTATGTGTACTGACGCATAAGTCCACCATTTGATTCCAACAACTGAGACATTCATGTCACAAATTTCTCTATAATTAGTTCTGCACAAGGAGTTAATTTACTCTCCTCCGTAAATTATGAGTGACCACTTCATGAACAACAGATATGTCAAGAATTTTTAGACTGGTGCCTTGGAGCTCTTAGCTTCTTCTTGTTGGAACAGCTATGATACAGCTCAGAATGAATAACAAAAATACTCTTTACTTTATTAAGTATATGTTGTTGCAGACACTAGCCACGTGTTATTTCGCCTGTTATGCGATTAGCCAATTGAACTGGTACTTTCCATAAATGGACTAACTCGTTTTGAAAATAAGTGCACGGCACTTTCTAATATCCAGTATTATCCCAATTCAATTAAAAACATTCTTTTTAGATTTTCCTGTTCATACTTGACTTTAAAGAAGACATTAGGAAACGTGAAAATTGTCATGAGTCCCTTCGTGCCTGCCAATTCATCTCTGCTGAATAGCAGTATAAACAGATGCAATATCCAACACTGTCTTCCAAATCAACGACTGCAGACCGATCTCAAACCACGAAAGATTTATGGCGTGACACATGCAGATTTTTCATGGAATTGGTGGCTTGCCTAGCCTTAATGAAACCATAAATAAAGGCTTTGTCATTTATGAGCTGGCACAAAGGAACCGCTGGCAATTAAGCTAACATGCTGAACGTGCCATTGATAAGGATCGGAAGCACAATTATCTTCAAGGCCTCCATGGCTAAGTAGTTTCATCTCATTTCCAAGGTAACGAAAATGACAATGCACTTTACGATTAGGAAATGATCCTAACTTTTCATTTCAACACATGAATGTATAAAACTTAAAGACTCTACACTTTGTGGTCGTTGTACTTTGCAACACAGAGAATGTAATTCTGTGTGAAAGTAGTATAATACACATCTTGTGTTACGGTCTTTAATCTGCATCTGGTCTTCAAAAACATGCTCAGAATTTTCAGTGCTGCTTTTCTGTTCATTAAAAAGGGGATTGTTTTCGAGGAGCGTGAATTAAATACTCGGCAGTCTATATTTTCAGCCATTTTTGTTTTTTTTGGGGGGGGTCTTTTTTCTCTTTTTTTCCAATTTTATGTATATTATCCAGGTGTGGTAACTTTAGTAATGTTTCGATGAGGTACACGAACTGCTAACAAAAACAAGATAATGAAGCTAACTGTTTACCTTTTAACTAATCCCACGGCACTTACCTATTCACAGTCAAAACAGCATAAATTTAGTTTGTTTTCCTTCGATATTGTTTAATTTCAGCGCACCAAACTGTTACATCATCCACTGTTAAAAATCAATATTGACAATGATTATTTACAAAGAGTTTTAGGTTTATCTCGCTTTCAACCTACAAGTGACACCTATTACGAATTACGTAAAGATTTTACAAGTATGATTTGCGTTATTCCATCAAATTCCATCAAATCGCCAATTTTAAAATATTAACAAATACATTGCCTTTTGCAAAGACACATAAGCCTATTCATTCGATGCTACGATAAAAAAATCCCATTCATTTTTATTCCAACAGAGCTTGCTTTTTGTCATTCACTGAAACACACACGTAGTTTATGCGAATTACTCTAAGTTTTGCGACACTCATGTAAAATTTAAATCAAGTGAAATCTTAGAACATGAGTAATCAAAATGTGTCATGCTCGACGCCCATAAATTTCCCCTGACTTGACATGACTAATTTCACACGCGCCTGAAATGATAAACATGACCAATTTTCCTTTTGTCATTTGACGAGTCGCATTACTAGACTGTCCTTCAAATGTGTCCGAAAAAGTGGAGGATGGTATTTCTACCCCTAGCCCTGAATCATCGCCAAAGGTGGCGAAGAAAAAACCACGCCTTCCGATTAGGTGTCATGCTGAATTATTTCCAACAGGGTCAAAGGTCATCGGATGGAGAGCACGGGAAACGAAGTGACTATGAAGACTTACAGTTTTCATCTCTTTCAACGTGACGTTTCAAATCGAAATCACTGGCATATGTTATTGTTCAGCTGTGTACATGCCATTAACGGCTTGGCTTCTATCCATTTCAATTCATGTGTAAAATACAGTTGCACATTTTTTGAAAATTGACATTTTCTCCAAAATACATTCGAGCTAAAACGTTTTATCCTGGGCCGTCGACAAGCAAGCCCACATTTCATTTTCAACCTGAAAGTGATTTTAAAAGACATAACTGACCATTTTCATAAGTGACTTGCCTTTGAATTTCTGAACCGATAGAATCGGGGTAATATGCTTATTACAGGCTTCAAAGCTCATTAATGTAATAACCTGAGATTATGAACTATAAAGAGTAAAAAATATTCAAATCTCGCAGTCCTATTAGATCTTCTCTGTGGACTTGTGCGCACATTCAGTTTAGTCGTTATTTTTTTCGATGTTCATTCAATCTTATAAAGAGGTCCAACGTCAATGCATATAGCAGATAAGAATAAATATTTCCTCTATAAATCCCACAATTATTTTTGGGGTCATTTTGCAAGCGACTTTCCAACGTCCGGTTGGGGAAGCAAGAGGCACACTTTGCCTGATCATAAGGATGGGCAAAAGGTTTTTATCTTGCTGAATGGGTCCTCCGATTAGGAAATTTCCTGCCAGTGGTTTTACTAGCTTTCTTTATCAGCTAAGCAGGGGGCGTGGTCGTCTTCTTCCCTTTCTGGGCTCCTTTGGTGTCTGGTCTGGCTTTCTGAGTCGCCCTACCTCGTACAAAATGTGCAATCACCATAGCAACGGCACAGATGATTCCTAGGGAGACCAGACAGACTGCTATAGCAATGCCAGCTTTCTTGGAGGAGGCTACTGGTTTCTCGTGTACATCGCCCTTTGTGGTAGACACAGTGGTCGGTGTAGGGCCTGGACCTGGTCGTGGGCGGTTGGTTTGGCCGTTGGTTGGTTTCGGGGGTTTTTCGGCAGGGGTCGGCTGCTGGACGTTTACGTTTGGTGGCCTCTTGGGAGGTGGACCAGTAATCATTGGAGGGGCTGTTGGTGGAGGGGGCATGGTCGGTACTGGTTTGGGGCAGATGGGAACATTCGCACCAGGGCCTATAACGCAAACATCACTGAAGTATTCCATGACACAAAGAAACTAACAATTGAAATTGTGAAAATATCCGATTTCTAATCTGCGCAAGGAAAGTTCATCTACAGATATTTTACATCTTCAAAATGTACATTCAATGATTTTTTAGTGATTTTTGGATCAGTGAAATAGACGCTGAAGGCAATATATGCTTTTGTAAGATACAGAACACATGACTGACCCCTGTAACATAAGAAGGAGCATCCACATTACCACTTTGTCTCTTTGTAATTATAGTTTTTAAACAATGACTGCATTAATTTATTTCTGTTTGCAGTAGCCTTAAATTGGAAAGTTGGAAACCTTGACGGTTCGTTATATAGGTTTAGCGTCACACTGTCCCAATAATGTAGAGAGGTTTAGTTCTTTCATGCTAGAAAACAACTTTTTTTCTGTTTTACAACAATTGTACTTACGTGTGATGCGGAATTTCAACTCGACTTGCAAGCCCTCGTTAAAACCGCCCTCGACGGGGTCTGTGATAAATGCTGAAATCTATCCACAAAGAACAAAAACCACACTCCACCATTGAAAAGGAAAAAATGAGGTAAAATATTTAGGAATGGAACTTAACTTTCCAACATTGTTAATCTCAGAAACAAATATAGATCTTAATTACGGAATGGTCGTATGGAGCAACTGTAAATTTAAGCAAAGAAACCATTTAAGTAATTAATTGAAAAAGTTCTCCGCAGCGTGGACTACAGGTTATCGCAATTTTACCAAGTGAGGGCGCTCTGCCTAAAAATCAATGGCCGTGTCGTAGTGACCTTTGGCTGTAACTTGATGTTGCGCAAGTGCCTATGGTAGGGGCAACAGTCGCATTCTACAGAGTAAGGTGTAATTTTAACCCGCAGTCAAGTATGTACATGTACTTTACGGAGCCCCTAAAGGGACATGCCTTGAAAACAAACTCGGAATACAAAAATAATTATAATAATTGAAATCATTTCGTGCACTCGAAATCATTTCGTGCCCTCGAAATAATTTTTTTTTCGTATGCTCGAAATCATTTCGTGTACTCGAATTATACCATTTTGTGCGCTCAAAATCATTTCGTTAGCTCGAAATCATTTCGTTGGCTCGAAATAAATTACGTCTACCAGTAAGCGAACAGGACTCACTGGACAGTGGACACTTTGAATAAGGCGGGCATTCAATTTTCCTTCAAAAGAGGACATATCTGGCAGTTGTCATGTCAATGAGTATTTAATTCATTAACTAAATGAACTTGAATAATTTCTTTTTTGGTCGCTAAGACGGGACACTCCATTTTCAAGATATCTGTTATAGAATGTGAAACATGATTTGCCCATGCACAAAGCGATTTAGGCATGGACCCATGTGGCACATGGTTAGGGCTTGTGGAAGCAAGCACAGCGTTGTGGGTTTTAATCCAACTGCTGGCTACTTGTGAATTTGAAATTAGTGAAAGATAAATTTGAAATAAACACAACATACTCATGTACGCGATTAATACATGTATACAAAAAAAGCAGAAGGAAAACTGGTTCAAAGTTAATGAACAGGTAAACACCCAACAGTACTGCAATGCAATCATATACTAAAAAAGGTGCATCTTTTAAGTAAAACAACATACACATGAAGTAATTCACAACTTGAAACCCCTTCCTCATTGAGTCTTGCTTTGCTTTTAGATCTACAAAAATCAGTCATTGTACAATCGAGTGAAACGCCTCCTTTTGATTGAAACTGTTGGAACAGGGATGCCACAGGGTCTGGTTGAGAATAACTGGAATTTAAAACACTGACTAACGCAGCTATGTAACTGAGTGTAACGTGTTATTAAAATAATTAGAAACAGGTCCCAGATCTTGTACAAGAATTTGCTTCTTATCTGAAATCTTCATATCATTTCTGTTATTTTGATATTAAATTTATGTGAACTTAGCTAAGATTCTTCTGCCTTAAGCAAGCCATAGGGCACAAGCTGCCAGACGTCCCCACATTCCATTAATGAACTCTAGAAATAATTTATTTCGAACAAAAAAACGATTTCGAGCAAACGAAATGATTTCGAGCAAACGAAATGATTTCGAGCAAACGAAATGCTTTATTTCAAGCGCACGAAATGATTTAGTACGCACGAAATATAAACTGAAATTTTATTTGAATTCCAAGTTTGTTTTCAATTTATGTCTCTTTACGGGCTCCGTAGTACTTCAAACATGGTCTTACCTACAACTGTGATCCGGAACAGCCACTATCCCATGACTTCCATACTAACACGCGTTGCTTACGCGTAGCCACAACTTACGTGCACAGCATAAAAGGTGTTCATAGGATGTCAATTCATCCAAAAGTTAGAAAAATCACACTTAATAAAAAATAAATTCAGTCAAAATAATTTGAAAACGCATTTGTGTTGTAACGTCTTCAGTCGCTAAAAATATGGTTTCAAAGTGATGTCTCACCAGCACTGAGTAGGACGAACCACGTGTCATATTACGTAACTCGGCGATTATTCTTCCCTGAAGAGTGATGAAAAATAATCAATTTCAGACAGAATTCATCAACCGCGAAATGTTGCTCATGTAGAGTTTTGAAAAGCATAGGTAAGCACAATCAAGTGTGATATAGCGGTCCCAGTAATATGACTTTTGCAGACTATAGGTTGGCTTGGAAGCAGCAGCTTGTCGTTCATGCACAAAAGGCAATCGGGACACTAAGTACGAGGCTAACGTGATTGAACGCATTTGCTACCGTTAACTGTTGGCAAACGAACCGTATTTCCAATGATACCATCCAGAAACAGCACAAAATTTATTTTTTCTCGAAAAAACATTCCACGGGCGCAAAAATTTCACAGCTTGACTCGAATCATTATTTACTAATTTTCATGTTAGATATTTCAAAATTATTCGGCAGTCAAATTTTAGCGATTTTTGCGTAGGGTGCAACCCAGGCTCCCATACTGTTCCTTAATTAATTAACTTTTATTTTTTTTTTACTCAATAACAAACAGAAAACCCTACAGGGAAACAGTAGTAAAATGAACAAACAGACTGAAGTCGATGTAAAAACTACCTTTCCAAAAGATAAATGAGTTCTGAAACGCTCACGCTCAGGTTTCAATCGGAAGTATGGTTTATGGGCCTGCTAATTAAGCAGGGGTCATAGAAGAACTCTACCCTGTGGTTGAAATATTGCAAAACGATGATACACTCACGTCAGGTGACGTTGAATAGGGCATTGCCGTTATCACCTCCGGCAGGGTACCAGGCGGTGCTCTCGGCTCGGAGTACTGCAGCTTGTAAGTCGCGATTTGCCCATTGACCTGGATGGGTGGTTCCCAAGACAAGCGGGCGGTGATGAAGTCACTGTTTTCCTGTCGACACTGAGACTCAAGACGAGGCTCGATAGGCGCACTGACGTACTGGACCTCTGTACGGGATCAATAGGGGCGTGCAGATTTGGACGGTTAGTTCAAGGATCAACCATGCATCAAATCAGTCAAGTCCTGGAATTCCGCTGAGGTGGTAGTCTGAACAGTACTTAACAGTCAGACTTATCGTTTCAGTAACAAGCATCTGCATCAGGTTTGATTGAGTAAACCTTTAAAATTTTATTGTAAAATATGAATTCCTGTTCAAATCTATTTACTCTCCTCGAAAAGCATTTGCTAAAAGGAGCAAAATCCCCCCCCCCGTTATTGCCAGGAAATTAGTCATCAAGGGCCACTTTTAATCTTCTCTATTTTGTAATTACTATTCAAGGATTTTTTCCTGTTTCCACTCTGTACCACATGCATTCCTATTTATTATGGTGTACTATTTACGACACACATTTCTCTCTCTCTTTAGCCTCCCTCCAGGCAACGCAACTACACGACGCGACGGCACGATGGCTACCTTGCGTGTTGCATTTTTTGCCTCCTAAACTCGCCCCTTCCGTCGCCTGTCGCGTCGCACTGTCGTGCATCGCGTCGCCTATTACGTCGCCTGAAGAACGAGGTGACGCACGACACGACGCACGACGCGACGCGTCATGTGCTGTCGCCCTTTACTTCATGGTGTTTATAGAGGGCGCCTTTACTGTTTTCCTGCAAAGTACATGCTATTCGCTCTTTGGTGTTGATTTTTCATTGTTTTTATCTCATCGATTCATTAATTGGGATTAATTTCTGTCATTTTTTATTGAAAAAAATTATAAAAGAGTAAAACAAAATCCGAATATGTAGGAATAGCTCTCTCAAAATAAGTGGAAACCGCAAGCTCAGAATTCGTCACTCCTTAATTTCCCAGCCAATGATTTCTTTTGTTTTCTCTCATTTCTGTCCAACGCGCTTGCAAAATACACGCCCTGAGCCGCAGGCGTTGATTCTTTTTTTTTTTGGGGGGGGGGTTGTTTCACACATTCATCAGATTGAATTAATTTTTGTCACATTTTATCCCCCCAAAAATGAAAACAAGAAAAAAGAAAATCCGCGTATGTAGGTGCTCTCGCATAATAAGTGTATGCCCAGAATTCGTCACTTTTTTAATTTACCCGGCTGATTCTTGTTCGAATATCCGTCGAATTTCTTTTTAAGACCGTTGATGAAGCTCCCAAATCTTTCTCTGAGGTCCATGCCGGCAGTTTCCAAGTAGTTCTCCCACTGCTCAAGACAATTTGTCTACAATTGTACGACCGCAAGTTTGAACACGGGTTTAGGTAGTTACCATCCAGCCTGCACTATATTATTACCCTCAGAATATTCAGTCTTCAGTCTTCCTCTAATTTAGTCTGCCTCGTTAACTTCATCAGCACCACACTTTCAATGATATTAGTCCGCCGGCGTGTTTCTTAATAAAACACTGCAGATCCTGCTACCGTTGTGACGGTGTCTTTTCTTCCTCTCTTTTTGGCCTCGCGCTTAATTTCTCATCAGATCCGCGTGTTGCATTTTGCAAGCACGTAATAATGATTGATGTATTGTATCTTAGAATGGATTTACAATAATTATAAGAAAAATCAGAATTAGATCAGGAAAAGCCAAAACGCTGTGGCTGGCATTAAAGTTATATATTTCCTGAAGACAATGCTATTTAGTCGCAAAGCTCTTTCTGATTACATTTGATTTAAAAAAAAGAAAAGAGTTTTCTTCAACAACTCACTCTTAATGAAAACACAAAGTTAGAAAGAATCCAAGAAAAAGAACAACAGAATCGTGGCCTGATACCTATGGCATGTACTGTGCAAGCACGGGCCGGGGAAGGAAATGAAAGAAAACAGTAAAGGCGCCCTCTATAAACACCATGAAGTAATGGGCGACAGCACACGACGCGTCGCGTCGTGCTTCAGGCGACTTGATGCATTACACGACGCACGACAGCGCGACGCGACGGGCGACGGAAGGGGCGACGTTTAGGCAGAAAAAACGCAACAAGGAAACGACCCAAGACAACACGACGCGACGGGCGACGGCACGACGCGACGCACGACGCAACGTAATGGCAAGAAATGGCAAGTAATGGCAAGAAGGCGACGGTTCAACTCGACGGCATGACGCAAGGGAGCCGTCGTGTCATCGCGTCGGGTAGTTGCGTCGCCTGGAGGGAGGCTAAGGAGAGAGAGAAATGTTTGTCGTAAATAGTACACCATAATTTACATTTAGGATCTAAATGCCGACTGGCTCCAGAACTGTACTCGTATAGCCAGTTGCACTACGATTTGCGACTACAGGGAGGTAGCATAGCGCCCTCTCTCTGTCAACCGCAAACTTACCGGCGGTCCTGCAGAATTCCCTGTCTGTTGTGGCCTGGAAACAATCTGTTGACCAAAGTAAAGCCAATAAATAAAAACAACATAAGTAGAATAAGTAACCACCATTACATCATACTGTGATTAAATTTTCCTATTTTTGTAGGTTATATGTCCTTCAAAGTAAGTTTTTAATGAAGTTTTTCGGAGAGCAGCATTTCCAATTGAAAGTAGGCCTATTAACGATGCCAGGTTCTTATATGGCGTTCGAAACACACACTCACCCGGAGTTCCAAATCCTTTGGAGATCCCAACAAGTGACTTGGCCATACTCGTTCCATTAACAACGAACACCTGTCCGAAAATAATTCACTGACAGTTGAGAAAGCGATGAAACAGTTCAAGATCTTGAATGCTGCCAAATTTATTCTCCATGTCCTGCCATTTCCTTAGATACATAATACTTCCTCTCTTCTTCGCTTTGCTATCAGCTGAGCATGCACCAAAGGACATCTCCAAGACCTTTTCTAACTGAAAAAACATTCAAAAATCAATTGTTCAGCGATGATTTCTTTTCGTATATGCTTGTTTTAAATTCAAGTCGAGGGGCTTCAAATGCTCAAAACCATGCTTCCAGTTATAGGAAGCATGGCCAGTTATCAGTAGGCCTACACTTCCCCCTCAGCCAACTACACTGGCTCCTGGTTTTATAAATTTTCACCTCTATTATGATTGCAAAGACTTCTACTTTCCATATTCCACCGTCGCAATCCGACAATGCACGCGATTATTAGCCTAGTTTTGAACCGCAACCTTCCGGCCTTTCAGCCCAATATAATGATGTGACTTACCGTGAATTCATACAGGAAACCGAAATCCAGGCCAGTGAAGGTATGCTCCTCTGTACGCTGTAAAAACAAGATAGACAAAAACTGTTCTTGTTCGATGTTTGAAATATAACTATTTGTAAACTCAATAAGGATCTCCAGCCTCGAAATAGTTGTGGACACAGTGCATTATTTTAGCATTGTATTAGATAGCTGCAGAGAAACTTTTTCTGGGCGGACACAAATACCTTAAATACCCCTTGTCGCCCGTTGTCCATCAATCCTTTCTCCTTTATTTCGCTACTTTTAGGGAGATCTAACCTTATCGTGGTCTGGGAGCGAAAGTTGAACAATGATGAGCTTCGTTGATTTACTTTTGTTTGTTTACTTACTACAAGCACTTCGTTTTCTTCAATCGAACAAAACTGGGGCTCCTCTAAGGATGGCATCCGAAGTACCCTTACAGCATAGGCTCCATCGGAACCAAGACCTATCCAGCAAAATAAAACAACATGTTGTACAGAATTGGTACCCCTTTCAGAATTATTTGTATATTGACAACAATTTAATCGCCAAGTTAACCTTTAGTTTTTCCAGGCTAATGAATGAGAATTGTTTTCCCCAATAAAATCATTTGATGAAAAACAACATACGGAAGAAAAGGAAAATCAAAACCAGGTTTACACATCTTTTCTTTATTGCTTTCAATATACCCTCAGTTAGGAGAACTCTTTTTCCCTGAATTGGTATCTGGTAACGTGCCATCGGCAAACGGTTTACAGCACCCTTAAATAAAGAGGATAAGCTCTACTCCTACCTGCTTTTTAAACTAATTTCTCAACCGAATAATCTTTTTCAAAGTATTTTGGAGTAGGCCGTTGATATATGTAGGATCCTGTGAACAGGATTATTTGGGAATTTATTTTTCACCGGCTTAAATCTAAATTTCTGATTTGAGCAATCGTCATATAAGGTTGAGACTGGCACGAAAGCCAACGAGAAATGGGGACGTCAAATTTGCTTGGTTCGTTCTCGCGCTTCCTGGAAAAATGAACTGGCCCTTAGCGGTCGTGTGCAGCAGTGAATCTTCTACATGTAATGAGTTGTAAACTTGACAGTGTTTGGCATAACAAAAAAGTTAGGTCTAAAGCATTCATCATTACAGAAGCTAATGGGCCAGCTCAGCAAGACCATTCAAGAACAAAGCATGCAAGCGTTTGGCCGACCTCGCGCGTGCCTATCGCTGTTACCGAATGACCCCTGACGCGCTTCATTTTGGGCGCACGCTGTTGAAATACCAAACTACTGGCTCCTGATTGCGTACTTTCTGGTCTGTCCCAGGTGACCCGTGACGTGACGCTCCATAACTGTCGACTAGTACCCGGCTCCGTTGTATTCACTGTGGACACCTCCGCTCTTATTGAAGCTTCATTAACAACAGCTAGAGCACAAACATTAGGTGAATAGTTGGGTGAATAACCATGGCCATCAAAAATAACTAGGGCCTAAAAGATCTAATTTAAAATGGGTAAACCAATTCAACTGAATTATTACAAGAAATTTCTAAGACTGTGTGCTGACCTGTTTTCTCTTGGGATCAAAAGGACTTCTAGAGGTTCAAATAAAAATGTTGGTATTATAACCACAGCAGCGATTAAATTTGGACCTTCGCAGTTATTTTAATGACCATTCAGAAAAACTGGCTAAATTGTCATTCGGACGAATAACCCGCCTGTTCATAAACCTTGTACATTTGGTGACAAATGGTTCCTGTCAGTACATTGCATATTTGGACGGATGGCTTGGTCGTCTTTATCGTCTATAGGCCTACATCAGGCAGTAGAAGTTGGCAATAGCACAGTCGGCACTGATGCAAAGAATACGACGAGCAATCGTGTACACCAAACACCCGACCGATCTACAGCTATGACCTGCACGAGATTTTCTCACGTCAAAAATGATTATGGAGACGCTGCCCAAGATTGACATGGCTTACAATGGATAGTTATCCACACCCACGATAAAAGTATCACGGACACTGTTTTAGCTTTCCTTGTCGTCTCAACTAATTCTTCCTTTCCTGCGGATCTTCGCTCCAACGCGGCCTTTAGGCAATAAGTCAGATAAGACATCGCTCTGTGATATCCCCACTGATGTCACTTAGCTGGCCAATGTACACGTACTTACGCGAAAAAAGCCAGCATTTGGCAATAGCTCGTTGCGCATGAACTCCACAAGCTGATAACCACAGCAGTACCACCGGGATGAAGATGCTACGTTGAGGAGACATCTGTATTTTAATGAAAATAGAAAAAAACAAATGAGGCAAAAAATGCAAAAGACAGTTATCAAAGTCGCAAATACTGACCGATGCACTTCCTTCTATTTTATGGCCAGAGTTGTAGAGTTCTCAATATCAGTTCGAAAACTGTTCCAATAATTGTTCCTAAATTAAAAATTCATCAGTTTGGAGTTCTCTAAACGATGGTGTCCTCATTTTTTGTTCTTCCATCCCTCTTCAATGGTAGGCCTAAACGTGAGAGTTTATTGTCGATGTCAGTGCTATCATGTGGTTTTTCTTTGGGGGGGGGGGCTAAACCCTTCCCTCCTGACTCCACCTTTGGGCTCTCGCTACTAGTCTTGCACTTTGGGCGTAAAAAAGCAAAACAAACTTCAGCATTTTGGTGGGCTAAACCAAAATTTGGGGGGGGGGCTAAAGCGCCTGTGGTCATGAGTGTTCTATGACAGAGGGAAGACAATAGTGATATTTGTCTGGATTCCCGACGTCAAAAGATTACGATCCATCACAATAACAGACACGTTACTAGCCTAGGGTGCCAGACGAGCAGTACTCTAATAATTGATTGAGTGCAGCTTGCAATTGCTTTGCGTTTCATTTCACAGCGCAGTCGCGATACTGGATTATCTGAAAGGCCCCAACTATAACCAGTGAACCAAATCTAAAGAATAACGATCCTAAACTAGACTTAAAGACCCGGAAGATTCGTGGTTTTCCATGTTTATATTATATACGACCGATATTTCAAATGAAAAATAGTTCACGTCATGACGGTATCCCGTTGCGATAACTACGACACATAGATTATTCCACATGATACGAAGCTTTCACGAGTTATGAAGAAAACATACCCCGTGCAGACGTCGATGACTCAGTAACAGACCCCGTGCAGAGGTCGATGACTCAGTAACTAACAACAAACAGACAGTACTTAAAAAGAAACAGGTGGAACAAACGGACGATCATGTCTGAGCCAAACTAGCCGAATGGTACTTCCGTACACACAACGATTTTTTTGTCTTCATGGTAATGATGTCACTAAGGGAAGGTATTGGAGCGTGGGTACACGCGGGTTTCCCACTCGTTCCCCAACTCCTTTCTGAGCGGAACCCCGCTCAGAAATGAGAGAAGGAAAAACCCTGCTGATAGTCGGCCTACGTCAGTCTGTACCTTTCACTCTATGAGAATGAGGTTGTTCAGATCCTTACGCGCCCCCATCTCGAAAATAAGGGCCTTCAAGTGCCCCTCTGCAGAACCCAATTAGTCATGATTGCAAAAGCGATCGTTAGAACAGAATTCATACAATTACTGAATCCCTTTTGGCGAATTTAAACCAGATCCTTTAAGATACCCCGCTCAGTGCCAGTGTAACAATCTCCAAATCAGAATTTGCAGGAGTCCGAAAGTTTCATAATTCTTGTAGCTTGCATTAATCACCTCTCAACCGAGATCAAGCCGGGCACTAGACGCCGGTGTAAGATACTGCAGAAACACAAGCAAGAATTACATTGTTTTTTCAACTAGCCAAGTTTAACACACCCTGTTAAGTTACATTATGACAGCATAGGCCTACACCCACCTCATACACAGACTGACGATGTTTTGTATACAAATCTGGCATTTGGCTAAGAGGCAAGTTTTATGACGGCAGTTTCCTAAGTCCCATTACTGACTACTGAGGACACACCCCGACGTTTCCTCAACTACTTGTTCCTTGTCATAAATAAGTCTTAATTGAATCATTTTTTTAGGTGTATAGGTCACAGACATTAGTTTCTTGCAAGCCAGGCTTTGACTGAACTTCATGGGGTCAGGCGAAGAGGATACTTCCATTTTTTCCGAAAAAGAAACTAATTCCGAAGGGAAATTCTGTGTAAGTTACAAAAGTAATGTGCAACACTGCAGTCTAAGATCTTCAAAGGAGTTTGTGGCACTTTGAAAAATACAATGACACGTATATTTGTAATCATCGAAGCTGTAATGATTGTTTTCCAATCGCATCTCTTTGATTATTTTGACAAAAATTTTGGACAGACAAGACGAAATGAAACAAAACACGACAGAACTTGAAATAAAACATTTTCGAACGTTTCTCACCCGAGGTACACAATGAACGTGTCTTGTTCTAATGCAAGGACCATACGAATGACGACATGAACAAATATGAACATAAAACTGCAACAGAAACCCTTTATTCGATGGCACTGAAACTGAAAAATAATAGTGAAAGTTTTTTACATCGCAGTTTGGGATGACGTTGATATGGAAAACAATCATGGTTCTTTAAGGGATTTATGTTATGACTACGGCCCTACTCAGCAAGTGTCAGTCCGATGGCTGATAGTCTCAACAAAGAACCTGCCGATGTATGTTGATCGACCTTCACACAAGGAGATGACCGATGATCCATTGTCTTCCTCACTTCGACACCGGACAGCTCTGACCACTTGAAAATCAACTTGAAGTAAGGTTCATCTATTAACAGCATTGTCCTACTAATAGGCCACAAGGCGCCCAAGTAGCAACTGCGTAACCACAAATACAAGCAAGATTTCGGTATTTCCCTTAATGGTATAAACACTTGGCAAGATGAGTTTACAAGAGGTGACTTCATGGACTTTGATCAGGTTCCCCGTGTGAACCTCAAGAGATGCTCTTTTAATGTTAGTTTCCGAACCCAAATCCGGAAACGCGACCGTCGGACTTGTTAGTAGGCCTACTTGGCCTTGATAACCATAACCTGGTCGTGCCGTGTTTGGTTTGACATTGACTCGCTGGCACAAATCCAAAGCACAGCCCGCTGCATGTCATGCAGCGCGTGTAAGTTTTGAAATGTTTTAATTAATTCAAAATCGTTTTGGGATGTGTGCAGAAACTGAGCCCTCTCAAGAGTCGCAAATTTCCTTTATACTTGCATGTCCCTTCGGGGATACCATAGATTACAGTTGTATCTCGGTAAAAAAATCTCTAGATATATGCCACATTCCGTATTCAAGAAGTTCCCCTGAACATGCTTTTTGTCAGGGCGTAAACATTCCTAGGTGACAAGGAGGGGTCGCATAAATGAAGAGACTTGTAAGAAATAATCGACAATCCCAATGGGCGATTAAGAATCGGTCATTTGGCTTCGGTTATACTTTGATCTAGTAACTATATCAGCATGAGTAAAATAATCCAAAAGGAACTTTGAATGAGTAAACAAAACAGGGAAGCGAACGCTCTCAGGGTTCTTGCATCTGCTTCTAAGGAAGCAGGTTAACAAGTCAGACCCAAACCTGACAGAACAACTCGAACTCAAAATCAGACCTACTCGAACTTAGACCGACACTAACTTAGACCAGATCAAATTGACCTTAAAATATGTAATAAATCAAAGCAAAATTCATTTTTGAATCAAGATCCGCAAACCAAATTTTAGCCTATTCCATTTTAAAGCATAAAGAAGTCTACAGTTTGTTTTACATAAAACACGTGCTTTTGAAGGAAAACTGCAGCATTGATAATTGAGATTAGAGAAAAGTTTTACTTATAAAAGTCCAAACCTAGTCACTTTAAGCCAACCCAATTTTTTCAGGAAACAAAAAAAATTACATTTTCTAATTTGGTACTGTATAAGGATAAATGTATAGGGGTGATCGTACAGGCTTCCATGGAATAGTTGGTTGAATTATGACGTCATAGTTCTCACGTAAGTCAGAAAAGCTTCGGATCTATGTAACTAGCTAGATGTGGCTGAGAGTGTCGAAATTTTTATAATGTCTCACATCGACAAAACCTGTAGTTCGAGCAACCGTCTGAAGGCTCTGCCTTTTTTTGTGACGTCAGTTCAAGTCATTGGGAACCACGTATAAGCACCCCCCGCAAACATTTGCCATGTTGCAAATTGAAGCTAAGACCAAGGAAATACGATAATTGGGCCCTTGAAGTGATCCATAACAAAATGTTCTTCGCCTGATCTTCTCCCTTTCTCCGAACCTTAAACGAGAACTCAGTTTACCTTGCAGCATGATGATGCAGTAATCTTAAGTTAATAGTTGCCTTGGTAACAAATCAGCGTCTTCGATGAAAGGCACAAAGGATCAGGAAGTGTCTTATTATACCCTGCTCCATTTTAAGCCGAAATTAACAACGGTTTCTCATGTTCGATAATTCAAGTTCCTTGACTAGGAGCGAAAATTGTTCACTTGCCAGTTGAATGCCTGTTTGACGTCGTTGATGAGTGGTTAAAAAAGCTCTAGGATAGTTTCTAAATTCCAGTGGCAAATCGCGAGAGCATTCTTTCTATCAGAATGAATGAATAGGCTTTAACGCCTCAATACACCGATACATATGCGGTCATAGTCTTTTAAAGATCCTATGCAATAGTTTTTTAACTTTTACAATCAACTTCATTTTTCAATTTTTGAGACTTTAAAGGTACTTTAGCTAATTTGGTTTTTAGGTTTTATACGCTAATTTTAATGGGTGAAACTTTTTACGTCAAACTGGACTTTTTTTAAATGTTGTTGTCCCAACTTTCCTTTTC